GACATTTGACCCAATTTTTCCAAGCCCAAAATTGTTTTAAACTGTCCTAAAATTAATAATGAGCAAAAATTAAATAAAATAGATTCAAATTAATTAAAATCTAAATTATTGGCCCAATGAAGCCCAATTAGTAAAACTTCACCAATAATAGAAAGTTAAGCCCAAAACACTAATTAAAATAAGTTCGGAAAGGGAAGAAAATACGGGAATATAATGACTCATCAAATAACCCCACACTTAGCCTTTTGCACTTCTGGGCAAAATTAAGAAGCAAAGCAAGGAAATAAATCAAAAAATATTAAAAAAATCATGCAAAGGATAGAAACAAAATCAAAGACAAAAATAACGACAAACAAAAACATAAACAGAATTACATACTCCTTAATGAAACCTGGGAAACGAAAGACAACCTCCAACACTCAAAGAGTCAAAGAGACAGACATCTATAGACATCGTCCAAACAATTCAAAACATGTCAAGAAAATCAATATGCTCAAGAGGTGAATGAAAATCAACAGAACCTCACAAGATATGCATTGTATCACTCAAGTGTTTAGGCTACTATTTACTCTCAAAGCACCCATGAAAAACAATCACCACATAGACTTTGCAAGCCTCTAAAATCAACAACCAAAAACATATGCACATAAAGATCTAAAAGACTTTCAAAGGTTGTAATGGGGCAAAGGACAAGGTATGGAATGTATGAATAAGTAGCTTAAAGACCAAAGAAAATAGAGGAGCAATGGGGAATGAGTCAAAAATACACATGAAAGTAAATCCACCAATTTCAATCCTCACACAATGCCCAAGCCCAACATATTTGTTTTCTTTCTTTTTTTTTTCTTCGTTTTTTTTCATTTCATTTTTTTCATTTATTTTTCAATTTTTTTTGAACCTCAAAGATAAAAGAAAACGACATAGCCACTCATATATACACAAATGAAGAATCCAAGAACTAACACAACTAGGCACAACCCCCCCCCCCCCATTATTTGAGCACCCATTCCCAAAACAATTCCAAAGCTCCAAAATTTCCTAAGGTAGGGCAATCATGGTTTTTCAGGCTAAGGGCTTGTAATGAGCTATAAAACAATGAAAAAAAAGGCCATCGGCTCAAAGGGGCTATCAAAGGGAATGATTCAAGGTAGGCTCATTTGGCTAGAGGCTTATAAGAAAAAAAATGTCTAAATTATCTCCAACATGCATGTGAATCAAGAAGTATCAAAAAGAGTCAAGCCAAGGCCACTGTGCATGCAGTCAAGAGGCATAACACACAAGAAAGAAAGAATAGAGAGTGACTCAAATCCTTACACAGGGTAAATCTGTTACATTCAATTCAACCTCTCAAACCTAAAAATCAACTTGACATGCAAAGAAGAACAAGGATTTCAATCCATAGAATATCAAGCAACTCATATCCAAAAGTGAAGTAAGTGCCTACTACCTATACAAAACCCAGAAATCAAAGAAAAATATGTAAAAATGTACACAAAACATAGAATATAAATCTATAATCCTAGATCTCCCACCCCACACCTAAATCAGACATAGTCCTCAATGTAAACACAATCATATCCACTAAACAAATAGGACAAGCAAGATAAAAGAGTTGAAGAAGAACTCCCTGATCATGGTGGGTCCTGGATCTATCTCCTCAGATGGTACAAGTGTTAAGGTCATCAAGTAGCAACTTTGTTTAGCTAAAACAAACAAAGTCTTCCTGATCATGGTGGGTCCTGGATCTATCTCCTCAGATGGTACAGGTGTTGAGGTCATCAAGTAGCAACTTTGTTCAGCTAAAACAAACAAAGTCTTCCTGATCATGGTGGTTCCTAGATCTATCTCCTCAGATGGGTGTTTCATGGCATTTAGAATATTAAATCGCACCACAATGTCATCAAATTCCATAGATAAGGTCCCTGCATGCACATCAATCTTGGTTCATGCAGTCTTTAAAAATGGTCTTCCTAAAATGATGGGTGCAAAACCACGTGAACATCCCTCATCCATATCAAGAATATAAAAATCAGCAAGGAAAATCAACTCACCAACCCTGACTAAGATATTCTGAATGAAACCTGTAAGGTGGGTAACACTCCTGTTTTCCAACTGAATAACTATATTCGTAGGTTGCAGGGGTCCAAGAGAAAGAGATTTAAATATAGATAGAGGCATGACATTAATTAAAGCACCCATATCAAGCATGGCATTTTCAAATTTATAATTACCTATGATACAAGGCACACAAAAAGTACCTGGGTCTCTGCACTTCTCAGGAATTTGACGAACAAATTTACCTATTAGTGCTGACACATTTCTGCCCATGCAAATCCCCTCATTTCCCTTTAGCTTTCTCTTGTGTGTAGACAACTCCTTCAGAAATTTGGCATATATAAGAATTTGCTTGATGGCATCCAAAAGAGGAATGTTCAACTCCACCTTCCTGAATGTTTCTAGAATCTCTTTGTCAACTTCTTCCATCCTTCTACTTGGAGGGATTTTTGGTGGGAAAGGAAGAGGGATAGGAGGCTGCTGTAACTGCCAACTACTCTGTGCAGTAGAACTAGAGGATTCTATACTGTCATCTGTAGGCTCCCCTTGCTCAGGATGCTTTGTATTTGATGTAGCAAGATTGTCTGTCTGAGGTGTAGGCACAATTTCTGGTAAAGGTGCGACTATTGGGATATCAACCTGCTTACCAATCTCAAAGTGATGGCACTGACATTTTTCTGATTTTGCACTGTCTGGGATGGCAATCTATCAGAATTTTGGGACTATGTCTAATTAAGCTGAGTAGCTATCTGTCCCATCTGATTTGTCAAACTTTGGATGGAAGCTTTTGTCTCTTTTATGGAAGCTCTTGTCTCATGTTGCAACTGCATATTTTGTAGGGTCATCTGCTTGACCAACTCTTCAAGTGAAGGTTGAGGATCTGGAGCTGGTGTTGTTACTGGAGCTTCATTTTGTCTCTGATACTGTTGTTTAAAAGGTGGAGGCACATATTTGCTCGGTCCAACATTGTCTTGGAAAGTGGGAGGATGTTGTTGTTGTTGTTGATGTTGTGGTTATGGCTGTTGATTGGACCATCTCAGGTTTGGATGATTTCTCCAACCTGGGTTTATCTATTTGAAGCCAAGTCAAAATTCTGCTGCTGCTGTGGACTTCTGTTGTTGTAAATGTTTGCAACATAAGCTTGTGGAGCATCTAGTTCTATACATTGTAATGAGGGACAACCATCTGTATAATGATCTATGGAAGTACAAATACCGCAAAATTTTTCAGATGTAGCATCATTCTTCTAGGTTACAGCAAGTTGAGTGACTAAATTCACTGAGGCATCAATTTTGTTATCCAGTTTTTATTTCAGTAGAGGAGTTTGTAGCCATATCATTTACTCCTTTAATAACTATTGTATCACCCCTTACACTAAATTGTTGGGAATTCGAGGTCATTTTCTCTATCAACTATCTAGCCTCTATAGGAGTTATATCCCCAAGTGCACCACCACTTGCAGCATCAATCATACTTCTTTCCATGTTATTTAGACCCTGGTAAAAATATTGAAGCAATAGCTGTTCGGAGATTTGGTGGTGGGGACAGCTTGCACATAACTTCTTGAATCTCTCCCAGTACTCATAGAGGTTTTCTCCAACCTGTTGCCTAATTCCTAAGATATCCTTCCTGATTGCAGTGGTTCTGGATGAAGGGAAGAATTTCTCTAGGAACATCCTTTTCATATCTTCCCAGCTAGTAATGGACCTGGGAGCTAAGTAGTACAACCAATCCTTTGCAACCACCACAAGAAATTTTATAATTAGCTAGGAAAATTAGTTACAAAATTTATTTTTCACTAATTTGTAGCTAATTAGCTATGGAATAGTGAAAGAATAAGGTTGTAGCTAATCTGTAGTAAAATAGCTAGAAGATTAATATTTTTGTAGCTATTCTCTCACTTAGCAGAAAAATAATTTACTTAGGAAAATTTTTGTCACTAATCCCTCGCTATAAATATTAGCTATATTACTTTTTGAAGTTATTTCCTAGCTAAATTGTGTAACATACAATTATAGTTAAATCTGTAGCAAATTTATAGCAACTATCAAATTGAAAAAATATTAAATTATTGGGAACCATTCTTATAAATTAGTTTAGTTTTATAAAAAATTATTTATAAAAAATACTTGTAAATTTCTCTAAAAATATATAATTATAAAAAATAATTTTTTATCTTTTTGAAAAAAATATCAATAAAAATTAATTACAATTTTTTCTTAAAAAAATTATTTTTACCAAATTTACTATAAATATATATATATATATATATATATATATATATATAAATTATTTTTTATCTAAAATAAATTATTTAGAAATAATTATAATTTTTTTGAAAAAATATCTAAAAAATTGATAAATATTTAAAATTATTTTTTGTAAGTTTTTTATAAATTTAAATTTGTTAGAAATATTTAATAATATTTAAATTAATAGAAATTTTTTTATAAATAATATTTCTTTATAAATTTTTTAGAAACTATTCTTTATAAGAAATAAAAAAATTATTATATTAAATACTAATTTATTTATTTATTTATAATTCTTTTAATAAAAATCTAAATTAAATTTTTTCTCATCTTCTTCATACATAATTTTCTCAAACCTAGTTGATCGCTGCCTCTCTCTCGTCTCGCGCTACTATCGCTGCTATCCTGCGCAGCGTCCGTTGCTATCCTGCGTCGCTTCCGCACATGCTTCCAGCTCACGTTTTCTATTTTTATTTATAATTTTTTTTTTTCATTTTTATCCACTAACTCATATTTGAATTCAAGTGAGACAATTGTTTTAGTTTAATTTATATAAAAAAAATATACAATTTTTATTTTTGGTGAATAAAAAAAAATACAGTTGATTACTTGGATAATTTATAGAAATGAATTGCATTTCTGGAAGAATATTATAGTAAAGAAAAATAAAATAATAATAGTAGAATAAGAGACGCACATTCAGTGGAAGATAGTACTATCTGGATATAAGGGTCACGATCCATGCGCCACATAAATCCCCGATAATCTATAATTCGCGGGTTACCAGCATTCACTAATCCCAAACTCTGCGTTTTGATTGGACCACGGACCAGAAGCCTGTTAATTGCAGCATTGTACCCAAGCCAACCAAGTTTGGCTTTTCCACGACAAATACTTAACACTTTCATCGATAACAACAACCTCTCACAATTTTCCTTTTCCTTCGTTCACGAGGATAATATCGTAATGTTCGTTTTGATTTTTTCCGGAACCGCTTCCGTTTCTTCTTTCGGGAAATTCTCTTTTCTTCCACGAACCCTGGATTGTTTACTGTAGCGTCATTCAGGTTCATAGATCTCAATTTTATCTCAATTGTGTATTGTTTTCCCTTTTCGAAGGCTCGTGAGGCATGCTCAATTAAGTGTTGTTATCGTTGTTAAAAACTCATTCGGATAACTTTCTTATAATTTTGACGTGAATATCTAGGGTTTTGTTTCCTTTTTTTTCATTACAAAGTCAAATTTATCTCAATTTAAATGAACAGGACTGAACTTAGTTCAGTTGCTGGCAATTTGTCAAAGGATAAAGATTGCAGTGAATTGTTGAGTTTCTTTTTTTCTTGCCAATGTTATTGTTTGTTTTCTTGCAGGTTTTATTTTCCATTGTCTAGAAACTGAGGTATTGGGTTGAAAGGGAGAACTGGTTTTCAACTGTGAACTGATTGCATTAACTTTTACGGCAATTTCAACATGGTCTGTCCAGGTTCAACGCAATTGTCTCATGACGTTAGGCTCAACAGTAATATTGGATTGTGTAGTTTCCATCGTCATGTACGTGGATATTTAGATAATTCTCTTCTGTTTCCTCTTCCAATTAAAATGTTGAGTTTTAATTTCATCATTTGACAGAAGCGGATGGAGGTTGGTCAATTACATTTGGTCACCATAAATCTTTCACTGTGTAGCTTGGTATGGTTTTTGTGAAGTAAAATTTGTATGCATAGTATCTTCTCCCTCTTCTTCCCTCTTTCCTCTATGTTTGATGGATGATTTAATCATTTCCTGCTATAATTCCTTTGTTCTTGGGGTGCTCAGTGGACCTGAGCCAGCTGGGTTTCTTTTGTTAGAAAAGTACGCTGAGATCAAGAGGGGAGTGAATTGATCTTTGAAAGATTTTCGCAATTTACAAATTATCTATTTCAAAGATTAAGAATTCTAACCAATTTTTGAATCAAACACAACAAACAATCAAAGTAAAGGCAGTGACAGAATTAAAGAGAGAAAGGTTTAGAAAGATACAACCAAGATTTATACTGGTTCACCCAATCCCAGGGCTACATCCAGTTTCCAGCCAAATTTCAGCTGGGTTCCACTAGATTGATATTTTACAGATTACAACTTCAATCACACACTCAATCTACCACAAGAACCAAAATTCCAGTCCTTGCACCTAAACCTTCACCAAGAACCAATTTCCAGTTCTTGAACAACCCTGCAGCCAAATTCCAGCCACAGAAACCAGTGCCCACACTTCCAAGCACCCACAATACAGAAAAGAAAAGTAAAGAAACAAAGAGAAGAAACTAGAACACCCAAACCAGGTTTATGCAGTTCTGCTGAATGAGTTTCTTCACCAAAAGAATGCAAATATTGCCTCAAGAAAGAACTTCTAAGAACTTCACAAATCTAGCGCGATTCTCTCTTGAAAGTAGCACTTATGAATGCTTGATTGATTGCCAAAAGATGTATATTAAAATGTTCAAGCAATTATGTTCTAGTTATTTTAATCGATTGAAACACATTTTAATCGATTAGAATTCTACCAAAAGATTTCATAAAACTTTCTAAGTTATTTTAACTGATAACATACTTGTTTGAATCGATTAAAACATTCTAGAAAAATCTCTTAGTTGTTTTAATCGATTATTTCGCATTTGTATCGATTAAAATACTGACAGAACAACTTTCAAAACACTTCAAGTTATTTTAATCGATTATTTCGAGTTTGTATCGATTAAAATTCTGCCAGAACACTTTTCAAAATATTCTAAGTCATTTTAATCGATTATATCAATTCTATATCAGTTAAAATACTGGCAGAAGGTTTTCAAAATTCCTTCTAATGAAAACAATCGATTATTTTGAAAACATATCAGTTAAAAACCTGTTACAAAAGTGTTAAGAACATTTTAGCTGATAAAGATCATATACTATTAGTTAAAATAGTTACTTAAAAAAACCTTTTAACAAAATACTTTGTTTTTAACAGTTTAAACACGTTTTTAGAGGCATTTGCAAAATCTTTTAAATGAAGAAAGTTCATGCAGCAGAGAGATAAGAATGATTATACCTAAGTAAAGATGCAGACTCACTAATCACTCTACCCTTTTATCTAAGTGACCTTTGACTGCAACATAGTAGCCTTTGACTTCATTTTCACTTCATTAAATCAACAAGATCTTTGTTTAAGTAATTCAATAAGATCTTCATCACTTTCAGTCTCCCCCTATTTGATGAAGACAAAAACCCCTTTGAATAATATCTCTGCAGAAGAAGTCAGTTGAATATATAGATTAGTGAGTATTCAAAAATTAATCATTTTTCCCATTTCTCCCCCTATATTACTACTCCCCCTAAATAAGGAAAATCATTATCTCATTATCAAGAACAAAGCAAATATTTCTCCCCCTTTTGACTTCATCAAAAATAGGGAATAGAGGAACAAAACAAATACTCTGCATGGTATGTATCAAAATTTTGTTTTTAAAAACAGTTAAAAAAAATTTGAACAAGATATGTGTCTAACAAAACAATATGTGTCTAACAAAGCAAAAAATTTCATTGTAAGTGTGTATATTTTATAAATATTAAATTTTGTTTATTTATAATATTGCTAAAATATTGATTTGATGTAGGAATCATATGAAAATGCTATGATTGAAAAATATGGGGAAGATACATCAAATCATCCTATAGTTGATTCTGATCTTTGGATAAAGGCTGCTTGTGAAAATAAAAAAGGTAGAATTTATGGTATAGGTCGAGTTTGGATCTTAGTATTTCACATATTTCATCTTCATCAGTTGAAGGTCCCTCTTCCCAAAATCTTACCACACCTCTAACTGAAGAAATCACTACCTTAAATGAAGACACACACAGAAATGCAAACACTCATGCAACAACAAATGCAAGAAGAAATGCAGTCTTTCAAGAAAGATTTATTATCTACCTTAAAGAAACAATGATGAAAACGTACTTTAAACTTTGTTTCTATTTTTAATTGTGTTATACAGAACTTTTTAGTTGAAATATTATTTTTGTTTTTAATTGTTTGAAACATCATTTTAACTATGTTTAAACAATACTTTTATATTGAAAGTTGATAAGTTTGTCTTCTTTTTTAAGAATATAAGTAATAATTTAAATCTTAAATATTTGATATTATAAATTTTGATAAAAATTGTGAGGGATTAGCTATGAAATAGCGAGAGAAACATTGCAAAGGATTAGCTACGGATTAGCGAGGAAATAATTGCGAGGCATTAACCACATATTAGCTAGAGATAAATTGTCAAGGATTAGCTACAGATTAGCGAGAGAAAAATTGCGAGGGATTAGCTACGGATTAGCGAGAGAAAAATTGCGAGGGATTAGCTACGAATTAGCGAGAGTAAAATTGTGAGAGATTAGCTACGGATTAACTACAAGTTTTGGGAGATCAAATTAGCTAGGGATAAACAAAATTTCATCATTTAAATTAGTGAGGGATTTAGTGACAATTTAGCGACAAAATTTGCTACAAATTTGAGAGAGAATACATTTGTATCTAATTAGTTACTTGGATTTAGCTACGGACTATTCCATAGCTATTTTGTAGCTAATCTGTAGCAAAACATACCAGTGAGAGATTAGCTATAAAATAGCTACGGAATGTGTCATAGCTAATATGTAAAATTCTTGTAGTGAACTCCCTCCAAGGAATGAGGAAAAGCCTTCAGAAACAGATGGTCTTCTTGGACATTCGCAGGTTTCATGGTGGAACAGACAATGTGAAATTCCTTTAAGTGTTTGTGAGGGTCTTCACCTGCAAAACCATGAAACTTGGGCAACAAGTGTATGAGTCCAATTTTAAGAACATAAGGCACATCTTCATTAGGATACTGGATACATAAGTTATCATATGTGAATTCAGGAGCAGTAAGCTCCCTAAGTGTTCTTTCCGAGGTCCAATAGGTTGATCACCCATGTTATTAGTTTGGAAATTATCAGAAGAAGGTATATTAGGTGCAGTACTCTCACTATGACTATCTAATGGTTCAGACTCACACTACTGCACAAAAGGCTTTTTACGTCGGTTAAAATGGGATTTCTATGTCGGTTAAAGCGGCGACATAGATACGGGGGTCATAGAAAGTAAGGCTTTCTACGTCAGTTCCTAATAACCGACGTAGAAAGTAAGACTTTCTACGTCGGTTCCTAATAACCGACGTAGAAAGTAAGACTTTCTACGTCGGTTATTAGGAACCGACGTAGAAAGCCCTACTTTCTATGAGCTATTATAATCGATCAAAGCTGGTTACGATCGGTCATAGAGCTATTACGATCGATCATAACTAGTTACGATCGGTCATAGAAAAGACTTTCTACGTCGGTTAGTCGAGGAACGACGTAGAAAGTCTTACTTTCTATGAGCTATTACGATCGGTCATAAGCGGTTACGATCGGTCATAGAGCTATTCTGATCGATCATAAGCGATTACGACTGTCATAATACTTTCTATGTCGGTTAACAACGATAATCGACATAGAAAGTCTTACTTTCTATGTCGGTTAAACTTATAACAGACATAGAAAGTCTTACTTTCTAACTTTCTATAACCCGAGTATCTATATCGGTTAACGATAGCTAGTGATTGTATGTGTTATCAATGTCGGTTATGCCTATAACAGACATAAAATGTTACACATTCTACGTCGGTTATGTCATTACCGACGTAGAAAGTACTTTCTACATCGGTTAATGACATAGCAGACGTAGAAAGTGTTATTTTTTAAAATACCGCATTTTCTTTACGAGATGCTACCTTTCTTCGAGTAGACACTGCCTATTCGTCACGAGTTCCGAGACAAATATTCACGAGATCCGAGTACAGACGAGATATGCATAGTTCATATATAAATTTGCTACTGAGATATATATCCGATGCAGACGAGATCCGATTCATGACAGGATATGTACATATGAAACAGATTGAAATCAATATATGTACCTCGGTTCCAGACAGTTCATTTACTTAAGCGAATGTAAATTTGCTAACTTAAATCAATTCAATCTAAATTGTTACAAGTCAAATTTGCTATGAAGATTGAATACTTAAAAGGAAAGAAGCCCATTGCTCTCTAATATCGTCTAACACTTCAATCTTCATTGGAGATGAGTCTGTAAATTCCTACATATTGAAACATTTCGATTTAGAAATCATTTACATAATTGGCATATTTGACTTAATTATAGTATATTTACCTCCCTCCATGAGCCCATAATATTTTTGGCTACGATGGTGTGCATGTGCTTCATCACATAATACCCGCACTCATGGCTTCCGGTTGGCGTGGACACTACAAGTTAAATACATGTCGGATTAACTTTAAATGACAAATTGAACAACGGTAAGAGGTGTTTGGTCACCTTTGGTGCAATATACGTCAACTTCTTTCTAGCATGAGATGGAAGGCCTTGCAACCTTAGGTGAGCTTCCAAAGCTCTACAAAAGGACAAATAATTTTGGTGTAAGTAGTGCACATATGATACAACAATTAAAAAAACCAAACTTACGCGTCTATGTGCTTTCTAATATCCAAATCATTTGGTTTCTTGTGTAATGAACACAAGAGAATCACAAGAAATTCTTGAGGAACAATGATTATGAGCTGCAAATGACCCCTGCACGTTGAAATAATATTAGTAAAATTTCGAGTTTTACATAAATGTGCATTAATTTATAAGATGTATACTTACGATGCAAGTAAGGTGCTAAGTAGACTTCTTTGCCCCCAGTTTGAAATGCCTCTATTAAGTACGTTTGCACCTCTTGACTTTATTCCCAACGGATCTGAATGACAACGAGGTCAAGAAATCCATAGAGAAAGCGGATCTTCCTCTCAACACACAAACGATGTAAATACCTTCAACATTGAAAATAAATAAAGTTATAAAATAATGTACCGAGTGAGAATATAAAAAATATGTAAATATACTTACATTTCCCAAAGCTGCAACAACGATACACATAGCATATCGATACCGGTGAGAATATAAAAAATATCCCTTTGGAGTAAGAAAAAAGGGATCGTCTTGGTCCCGCATACAACTTCGGGTGGCATATCTAAGCTGTATGGAAGTGGTCCAGATAGTCGCTGCCGATGTGCCAGACTTGCTTGTAAAGCGAGATGGTGGTGGTGGTGATTCATGCACAACTTCCTTTGCTTTTTCGACCTCTTTCTATACAAGTACCAAAAATCAATAACATTAATATACATCAACCTATCAAAAAATAATAAGTACTATCGTTCAATGCATAAATCAACCTTGTGCATGTGTTGGGATGGGTCTTGTTAATGAAGCTGGCCATAAGATAAAATTTCCAGTGCCTGTCCCATTTGTTTGAACCTCTTCGGTGGGAATAGGGATTAGAGCGACGACATCCGGACATCTACAACCACCACTCTTATCATATCATCTCCAATACTCACGGTGGTGGATGGTTGACCCCAATGCATACATTTTCCCTAAGGTAAACAAAGGATAAAATATTTTAGACTATATAATGCTTAACACTATACCAAATACATGTCAAAGATATAATACGTACAGTATGCCACCAAATGCTCGGGAGGACCCGCAATATACAACTCACGGTCAGCGGTGTCGGTAGGAGCAACCTCGCGCCCTCTATCAGGGAGCATCACAACTCTCCTTTGTGCGACATGAATCGGGGATGCCTCTCATGCGGGGACGGAAGGTTGAGAGGACAAAGATGCCAACTCTGCTCGCATTGAGCTCAATAACTCTGCCTTCAAGTCGAGTACACCTCATCTCGAATCTCCTTCCTAATTTGTTGTTTGAGGGACTCAAACTCTTGCTCATTCGAGATGCCTCAAAGAAGGAGTTGCCACGGATGGGGCACCAAAGTCTTGTCGATGCCCACCCCTCGTCCGGCCACCACGAACACGTCCGGGATGCTGCGGGGTACCAATGGCCACTACCAATATATCCCGATGGCCATGTGGGTGGAATGATCCCGAGTGCTCTACTCAGCCAACTCATCCTACAACACAAAGGAATGATTTTTTAGCAAATACATATGCCTATTGTAGTATAACATATATAATTAGTTTAGGATATGCTACTTACAATACGTTGAGCAACAACATTAGTTTGCTCGAGATAAGTAATTCCACGATGAGTTACGGCAAGCTCTCTTCCATTTATCATGGCGTGAAGGGCGGGTGACGGAACTCACAGCAGAGTCATCCGAAGGTAGACTTGAAGAAGTCTCCTTCATCATCTTCTCCTCCAATTTCTCATAACCCCCACGAGACAACTTTGTGGGGGTGGATATTCTTTCTCACGAATATCTCGTGCCTTCGTCGCTTGGCTCTGTTGCATTCCATGTTAAATACCAAATTTAAAACCTCTATTTAAAAAAAATGACTTGCAAATAAATGACAAATGTGCTAACACGAAAGCTAGCGTCTAAGCGCCGAGTCCGAAATACTGCCATGTCTCCTCATCCAAAAGCGTCTCGGTCACATGGGTTCTTGTTGCTCGATGCCCCATATATGTATCGACTAGTCGAGATCACTCTTAAAACCTCTCCGGCGTTCCCCGGCATATGAGATCCACTTTGTCCTCAACAAAGTGGTGTTAGGGACATCATATGTGACCTACACTAATAAAAATAACATGAAGTTCCCAAAAAGTTAAATATATATACATGTTAAATGCTCAATAAGAGTAGGTACCAGGATACTCTGCCAAATCTGGTTCTTCGGTGTCTACGGAACATGGTCCCAATCCTCAATAAGAATACTAACCTTGCTTCTCCCAAGCAAGGGCACATAGCTAGTGAATCTAGCACTATGCTCTCTAGTGGCTCTACTCGTTTGCATGTCAAGCTTGGATAGGCAATTACGATCGGAGCTACGGCCGATATTCAACTCCTTCAGCCAGTGTAGCACGCCTACCCTTTTTCCTGGTAGACGAGTGACTCCGATCACCACCTTGTGTAGGAGGGGGGACTTGTGTAGGAGGAGGGGTACCGGATGTGCCATATACGTGTTCAAAGAAAAAAATAATAGTTATTAGTTTAGACAAAAAAGTGCATACATTAAAAAATAATACATTAAAAAAAGTGCATACATTATCAAGTTGGAACATTCTCCAAAAATCCTTCCATATGGTCATAACGTATGGCATGCACATCATCTATTTCTACATTAACACTCAAGTTTGGCATATTTGAAGAGAAACATGGTGTCTCCGGTATATCAAGTACTAATTCATCATTCTCATCGAAGTATACATGGGTTTTCCTTGTAGAACCACTGACCATCCTTTGTTAAGCGGGATCAGTGACATAAAACACTTGTTTTGCACGAGATGCCATGATAAATGGTTCTTCGGTATAACGAGTATTTTCAAGGTTAACCAAGGTAAATCCAAGATCGTCAGGTGAAGATGCCGGTATTAAAATCAACCCACTTACATTTAAAATTAGGTACTCTCGAATATCGTGTAATCTATTACCCAAATCTCTTCAATTACACCAAAGTAGACCATTGGCGCCCTTATCGGATATTTATCCTTTGAACTCGAGAAATGCATTGATTCGACCACCACCATGACTCCACTATTTTGCATTGTGCTTATTTCATCTTCTCCCTTTGTATAAAATGAATAGTTATTTATATCATACCCACCCCGACATATCACATCAAAGTTTGGCTCACATGCTAGCCACTTTAGTGTATCGAAGTCTGTATTGTCACCTTGACTTGTTGT